TGTGTGTGTGTGTGTGTGCGTGTGTGTGTGTGTGTCTGTATATGCGTGTGTGTGAAGCAAGCAATTGAGGTGGCTGTAATCCCACCTGTGTCTCATTAGCACAACAACAAGATGCAATAACATTAACACTGCTGTCCCCTCCCCAAAACACAGGTATGTTAATATATTTATCAGGCTAAAAACACACAGTTGTGATTTCATGACTTTTGGAAACATTACATCAAATTACATTAATTTCCTGGAGACTTACCCTAACCCTAACCATTACTGCTACTAGACTAATCCTAACCGTACCCTAAATTTAGACCAAAAGCTAATGCTGTTATGGGGATATGCATTTGTCCCCAAAAGAAGGTGAGTCCCCATAATGTGACTCTGTCATCAGTCCCCACAAGATGGGTAAAACACACTCTAACCCCAACACACACACATGTAAACCTATTTTAACCTCAACTAGGTCTGAACCCTCAAAAAGACCTGTGAAGAAGTGAGGACCTGTCAAAATGTCCTCACTCTGAAGGTCTAAAACTCTACAAGTCCTCACAAAGATAGATGTACAAGTTCACACACACACACACACACACACAGACTCAGGTATGACACACATGTATAGAGGCTGGCCGAGCAGTCCACCACATAGCGCCGGCTGGCAATAGCACAGCTCTTATCTACTTTATGACTTCCACTCGGCCTCCTTTATTTGTGTACTTTGACTTTCGCTGTAAAGCTCTGTCTGACCCGCAGTAGCACCACAAAGTGTCAAAGGTCAAATCTGGAATTTATTTCAACACACAAATTTCATGTAAACACACTCAAGCTGCGGTCGCTGGAGGAGTCTGACCCAACAGATAAAAGTCAACAGAGTGTGCAGCTTCTCTTCGTGATGATGCAGTGTCCCAGTGGCTGGTTAGGCTAAAGCAGGTATCACGTAACCATATTTGAATCCGGGCCGGGGACCTTTGTAGCTTGTGATTGCTTTCTCTCCCATCAGCACTTCATGTCTCTCTTCATAATAAAAAAAACTATCCTGCAGAAGCAAAAACAATAATCTTGCAGGATTTGTCAGAGGCTTAAATAAATTAACCACCGCTCTGGACACAAGCTAGTTATGCAAAACTAAATAGCTTCGAATCAATATATTAAATAATTTGACTGAATCTATAAATCCATCAAAACCAATACTGAGAAAATGTTGTTGTCAAAGAGACATATGCTTATTGAAAATCTTTCCTGTAACATCAATTTCTCTTTCCACAATTTTTGATAAGCTACATGGCCAGAATTGTATGAACAGCCACCCAAATGTGATAGATGCACATGTATTTCCAAAACCACGAGGCATTAATCTGCTGCTTTAACAGCCTCCACTCTTCTGGTTTAAGAAACAGCCAGATTTTGGGAGCTCGCCGCAGGGATTTGCTCCTATTTAGCCACAAGGCATGATCAGTTCATCCCAAAGGAGTCGAATGTGGTTGAGGTCAAGTCTCTGTGCAGGCCAGTCAGTGTCCTTGGATCTGGTTTTGTGCATGAGGGCTTCTTCCAACTGTTGCCACAATGTCGGAAGCGCATTATTGTTTAAAATATGATTGTATGCTGCAGCATTAAGATTTCATTTCACTGGAACTATGATGGTGTGTGACCATGTTGTCTAATCATCTTCTGAATATGTCCCTAAATAATATGTCTTCGGTTATGTCTTCGGTTATGTAATGATGATGAATGCATACATCAAATCCTCCAAATGCCAGGATTTAAAAAGGGAGACACTTAAATGGAAGAATGAAAGAAAATGTCCAAAACGTATCCTGACGTTTTCCTGAACTAAAGTCATAGCTAATAGATCAGAGGTATTCAATTAGAATTCACGAGGTCCATTTCGAGAGAATTTCCTCACGCAAAGGTCCGTAACATCACAATAACGTCTACCTTGCGTGATGATTTAGGACCATATGTATTGAAGTAGCCGAACAGTTGTATTAACGTCTGTATGTACTGACTGTCAAAACAAATATAGAAAGTGCAATTGAATAATATACAAACAATATGTATTGTCAGTTTTAAAATTGAACTGGATGAATTATAATTAATAATCAAATACATGAATTTAAATAAATTAAAATATGGACTGGATTAAAAAACTAAAATACATGACAGAAAGCTTTTAAAAATTGTGCATCTTAAAATACAGTACTTCATTTTAGAAATGAACTGAATTGACCTGCAGCTTTAACATAAAGCTGATAAAAACAGGGCCGGGCTGCAGCTTTAATGGGATTACGCGATCCTCTTCTTTCACTGATGCAATTAAAAACTCACTAAAGCAACTGAATGCGAGGTCTTAATGCTCTGTTTGCATAAAGGACAATTAGCCCGCAATAAATTATGAGAAGTGATTTATGTGGTTAATTTGGCACGCGCTCGGTCACTGTAGGAGACGGCATAAATAGTGCAGTTTGCTCACAAAATATTAAAACTTCTGATTCTGATGCGTTAGCGAGCTGTGCACCGTGGAGAGGAGGGGGAGGCAGATGAGGGGCTTTTAGTGTGGGGGTAACAGAAGCGCACCCCTCCCTTTCTCTCTCCCCCCCCCCCCTTCTCCTACTCCCCTGGCCGCTCACAGACCATTGTTGTTGTGACTGCCGTCCGGAGAGCAGCGGAGTCCTGTAGGAGTGCTGGTGTGTGGAGGACGCAGTCTCTCTCTCTCTCTCTCTCTCTCTCTCTCTCTCTCTCTCTCTCTCTGCGGTAGAAGGAAAACTAACTGAGGAGGCTGAGCTACACATTTGAGCGGCAGAGCTCAAATCTGATCGGGATACACTCACACACAGGAGAGGAGAGCTCGCAGAAGCGCTGCGTAAAGACGCACGTAAAGAGTTATCCAAGACTACAGTTCATCAGAGAGAGGACTCTAAACTACGGGGCTTTTATCAACCTCTATTAATCTCTTAGTCTCGCCATTTTGGATCTTTTTCAATATTTTCTAAGCGAGAAGAGACAGTTTTATTACACGCGCAAAATCCACTTTCTGGGTCCGTGTTTGGTTTTCTTTCTCTCCATGGATTTAGCCTTGTGAGCGGCCGGTTGCAGTGGACTTTGCCCAGGGGGATCACGGCTCCTTCCACCGGTCACCAGCAGAGCCCGGCAGCTGTCGTTCATGTTCCAAGGGGCTGTTTGTAATGGATTTATAAGATTGACTTTGTTTTTAGCTGGATCCACAAGAGACGCTCACGAACTGCTTTTCGGGAAGGTACAGTGGCGACAACGGAGCTCCAAATGAGGATTTCAATATTCACTCGTATCGAACGAGACAAGGAGTGATTTACCCCCTGGTGCCAGTCATCCCTGCGCCGACAGACCGGGAGGAAAGGTGGGTGAATACAGACCGAGACAGCTGGAGATGTGTTATTTCATTCATTTCAGCAGCAGTGTGTTGGTTAAATCACAACTAAAAGCATCATAAGCAATTACTTACAACCTCAGATACAGTTATTAGAGTGAGTTTATTCTACTTTTTCCATTCGTTTTCATAAAACAAGTGTACTGAAATAAGGCACAATAAGGTTTTTTTTCTCCATCGTTCATTTGCATTGAAAATCCACGTTGACAGTGGACTCAACGTAGAGATATGGATTTGGGGAAATCATTTGTGGCTTTTATATGAGGCGAAGAAGTTTGTTGTGTTTTGCAACGCGCACAGATCCAAACAAGTCACTTTGCCTGTTGGACATTGAACCTTCCAAACGGACTATTTGTTTGGAGGAAAGACGCTCAAAGCGGAGTTTGAACTCTGTCAGACTACAGAAAAAAAAATCCCGCACATTAAATTGAATGCTATTTCACCCTCATGAAGTGGATAAATTGACACCGTGCACGGTGACAGTCATGATCAGACACTTCTGCAGGAAAATCCTTCAGGGAACATTTGAAGTCAAGATTTATATATAAAGCGATTATTTTTCTTTGATTGATCCCGGATTTGCAGACACTTGATCAAATTGATTGACTGACAGCATTATAAGGTTGACTCTGTTAATACTAACAGTGCATATGACTGATTTATTAAGTGTGATTTGTGTGGTAGAAAGATGCAGTACATTCAGAATAAAAACCTACAAAGTGACGTCTCTCTCTCTCTCTCTCTCTGAGTAGAAACAGTAGAATGCAGTAGAAGTGTTTTGGCTGCAGCGGCGAGGCAGCGTGCCAGCGGAATTAGCAGCAGCAGGAGAAAAAAGTTTTTTTTCCAGTACTTAATTGAGAAAGAATACGTTTCATTCAGCAGGCTGGTTCTTTACACGGTGTGTGTGTGTGTTTGTGTGTGTATATATGTGTGTGTGTGTGTGTGTGTGTGTGTGTGTGTGTGTGTGTGTGTGGGCGCGGCCTGCGTGCATGGGGCGCACACACCAGGGTCTGGCGCCTGTGCGCAGTTGGTCCGACTCGCAGCAGAAAAAATCACTGCATTATTCCTTTCGTGTTCTTGTTGTAGGCTGTTAGTGTTTATAGTTTGTCTGCAGTATGAGTTCATGATGACAGCGTTGTACTTAAATTAGTTGTTTTTTTAAAGGTTTTTATGAATATTAGTTAAGTATTAATAATTGTATTTTCGCATGGAATTGAGGTATTTGTTGTACCATGTATAATTTATACAGAGATGCACATTTGTGGAAGTTTTCTTATTAACTTTGCTCCTAATTCTATTAGAGGGCTTAAATATTTGAATAGCATTGATGCATTCAGTAGTTAACCACATTTTTGTAAAACAGGTCTAAGTATTTTGAGAAATAAATCAAGTCATTTTCAAGTCATTAGTGATAATAATTAAAGCTTTGGGCTTTTGCACACTGTGATTTATTCTACTGTTCTCTGACAAAGTTTGGACCAAACGTTTACTCGATTAAATGAGAATATCATTGCCAGGAAGTGAAATTATGAGTTATTTTGTGATGTAAAATGCTCAAATTTGAGGTATCACATGAGCCCTCTGCAGTCAGATTGATGCTCCAGTGAGCAGTCACCTGTTTCCACCTGAAGTTTCATGCCAGCTGCCAGTCGAGTCTCTCTGCTGCTCCTTCAGATTCTGTAGCTTCCTGGCAAGTTTCAAGTGTTTTCCCAGTAAGGGCCCATTATCCCGGGGCAGACTGAGCCGGGCCATCCATTGACAAACAACAGGCGGTAACAGCCCTGCTCCTTATTCATGACGCAGAAGAGCCTGGACAATATAAGGCCGACGAGCGGGACAGTTAGCAGGACGTCTGGTTAAGAATACAGCTGCTCACAGTCAAAACAGCGTCTTTTACTATTTGTCTGAACAATTGTTTGTGTTTGTGTTTTTTTTTGCCACCTGGTCTAAAACGGAACAGAGAAGTTTGTGTCTTTAGCTGCTCTCCAGACAGATCTCTGATCAGCTGATAACTGTCTCCCATTGTTTGCATCTGCAGGATCGGATTAAGAGGTTTTGTGGGTTTCTGAAGTTTCCAATGCCAGGGACCGGAGTGTGAGGCCAACTCCAGGCTTCCAGCGTATATTTCTGCCTTTTTAACCAGAAGACAAGCATGAAGAAGATGGAGAAGATCTGCACGTTCTGTGTTCTCCTGCTCTGCTTGATGGACAGATTCTCAGCCAGGGCCATCAACGAAGGAAGGACTAAAGGTAAGACCTGAACTGCTTTTTTTACCCTGCAGGTGATGATGCTTGAAACTATCAAATGTTGTCAAAACTGAAACCACATCATTTTAAGAGGCTTCACAGATGGTTTCTTTCCTCACTGTTGGGGCTTTGTGCTGCATAAAAGTAAGATAGGTGTGTGACTGAAAGGTCTGATTGTATTACGTCTTTATCCTCAATTTACTGGGCAGAAAAAATGTCTGCCTCAACATAACTGTGTATACCTGCGATGGTTTTCGATCAGCCCACTTTCCTTTCTTAGAAAGTGTCCGTTTCTTTGCAGCCATGACCACAGAGGAAGTCAAGGTGACAGGAAAAATGACAGAGAGGCTGCAGTCCAGTCTTGGAAGGAGAAAGGGGGGGAGGGGGGCGAAAGCTCTCAGTGTTTTTGCCGCTGTAAACTGAGCTACCTGATCCGTCCGAGGTCCCGGGACTCGGAAGTGTAAGTCTGCCTGGCTGTGTGCCAGCTACAGAGGTTGGGGGGGGGGGGGGGGGTCATGGATGCTTTACAAACAGAAGCCAATGCAAAATGTCAGCAATTGTCAGATTGTTTCCACTGGGTTACGGCGCAATCAGTAAACTTGTCCAATACAATCAGTCGAATCAGTTGCTTCTCCTTTGCCGTGAAGTAGATAATGTTGTTAAGTCAAATTAAAGGACTAGGGGACATTTTTGTGTGTAGATTGATGAAAGACAAAGTGGGTTGTGTTGCCCCGGAGGCATCGAGCACAGAAGCTGTCTCCTCTGCATCTTTGTACTTCTGGGCCCCCGCGAGGCCAGCCGAGGCTTGCTGGCTCAGAGGACAACATGCAAAAGAAAAAACTCTGTGGTTTATTTAAGAAGGATGAGTTAAGAGTTGAACCGGCATCATACAGAGATCTTCAGGTCGTAAAACATGCAGGTTGCAGCTTTGAAGGCAGCGTTGCAACTTTTATCTTGGTCCTTTTGGAGTTTCTGTGATTTTAGAAGAGACTCAAATCAAAGTGGAAGATCGCTTCTTTTCTGCACAGAAACAAGCCACCGGGCGTTTTCTGTCATGTTGCGAAATATAATTACACATCTAATGTTACTGGCCACATGCTGCTAAATGCAGGGATCTGACTTGTCCAATGTCCCCCCCCGCCGAAAAACTTATTTTCAGTGGTGTTTTCTGCCACATCATTACAGATTATAGAAAAGTCTGAGTATAGCCTTTGTCTGTACATATCTGGCAAGCTTAAATAGATTTTGGCTGCTCTCTATTCAAACATCAACGCCAACATAAAAACAGGAAATATACAGAGATGATGTCAAAATTTGGCTGGCAACTAAAATCCTTGCTTGGTCCTGTTTTTTAAGAGAAAGAAAAAAAGTTTTTCAAATGGATGTGTAGCATATTGTAATTGTTTAACTACACAACATTAAGGAGAACAGATTGTCCCAAAGAACGTCCTCTTTTGCTTTGTTCTCTGCATAAGTTGGTTGGCATTTATTTGTTTTAGGAGGGCATCTGCTGAACAGGCCAGAGCTGCCTGAGGAAGTGTTTATTATAACTTCTCATACATCAGGCACCTGTGACTGCGTCAAAAACAGGTAATGAACGATTGTTAGCGAAGTATGTAATCATATCTAATGCTATACGATGACGCAAAAGAGCAGATGCTTTCATTAGCTTTTCATACAAATCTGAGATGTTGAAGTCGCAGGTTCATTTATGACCTCAGAAACAATAGTGGGACTCAAGGTCCACTTACTAGAATTCTTCGGGGCTGTCCGTTGCATCTGTTGGCCTCCGACAGCAGATGGAGAATTGTTCGGAGAGTGGAGAAGAACTGTTCCCAGGAAGATCATATTTATGAGTATAAGTAGATCGATTCATATTATAGCAACTGTGTTATATGATATTGTCAACCATGCAATATCTGTTTATATATACATCAATAAACACTTTAAAAAGTGCTCATAGTCACTTCCTATAGATTGTATTTATGACGTTAAAATAAAGAGTTAACTCCTTAGAATTAAAGCTGATTGGATCAAACTTCAGCATTTCTCCTCTAGAACAAAACGAAAGGGTTTTGAGGTGTGCTGTAGCTTTGCAGAGATAAAACGGACCTGTAGCTCTGCTGCTCTACTCCCGGGTCAGGGCATGAGACTCCTCATTGTCCCAACTGGTTTCCACAGAGAGCTCTGCGCTGCCAGCCCAGCCGACCGGCCGGCTGGCTGATGGCTTGCTCGCACCGGCCGAGCGGTTTGTTTGTGTTGTGTTGTGTTTTGTTTGCCCCCTCGCCTCTGGGTGACAATTCACACTCTGCTGCGAGTTCAACTCCAGGGCACCGTCCCCTTCTCTGCAAGTTCATTACCACGGCTGTGTGTGTGTGTGTGTGTGTGTGTGTGTGTGTGTGTGTGTGTGTGTGTGTGTGTGTGTTTTCATCTCTGTGAATGTTTTACTGTGTTTGCTCCATTAGATAAAGATGCTTGTTGGGATCTCTTATTCTTAATATTTTGACCCAGTTAGTGTATGTGTAATGTGTTCACATTAAAACTATCCATCACCACGGCTCTTTTAATTTGTTTTCCTTATGGCTGCTTTGACCAATCAGCGTGTCTGATTTCCCACTCACAAAGGTTGTAGCTGTGTGTGTGTGTGCTCCTGAAAGCACTTCACTCTGACAAGGGAACAGATTGCCTTTTCACTAAGCGCTCGCAGGAAGCAATCAGACAGAAAATTGCCCTGGAAAATTGCTCGTTCTGAGTGACTGAGCAGCGAGCGAGGTCCCCAGCCAGGGCGCACATATGCTCCAACAAGTGAGTGGGCGAGCACACGAATGGGCGAGTGACCCGGTGAATGGAGGGCACTGTGGCTGATGGTTACACTATGGTAGCTGGGTTATCAGGGCACTCTATCACCGGTTCCTGGTAGCATTAAATGACAGCGGCTGTTAAGGTACATGGTGTACTTCTGTTGCCGGACCTTTCAGAGGTAAACTGAAACCTCTAGGGTCTGTTTTGACAATTTTTTTTGTCTTGTTCACTCGAGAACTTGTTCAGACCAAGGAGGTTTGAGGCAGTTTGTTTAAAACACTGGACTCTTTTATCCTATGACTTCACCATAACATGATACCTGGAATCTGGTATTTTAGGAGTAAATAAAATTGTTCAGAGGAAGAAAGGTTCAAGCTAGAAATGCAAGTGGAGGTGAAATGCCTCCCCAATATCTAAAATTAAGACTCATTTTCTATATGTATCTCCTTTTTGTTATCCAGATCTTCGGGTCTCCAGGCCTCTGATCGTGCCAGGTTACCCAGAAAACACCACGGGGTTGGTGGGTGGTCAGGCAAAGCTGGTGTGTAAAGTCCACCGGTCGGCATCCACCAAGGTGCAGTGGCTGAAGATGGAGGTCAGCCAGGGAGGACCGCCTCGCCTCAGGGCTCTGACGGTGAGAACAGATCCGCCGACAGATACAAACAAACAATTTTATGTTTTGATTCAGTCCTCATCATATTAGATGATTATTAGATTATATACAAGAGGTTTAAATGATCACTCCTCCACGCAGGCCCTGCAGAGCAACGTGTCCAAGGTGAACACTTTGCATCTGTCCAACATTAGTCTGGAGGATGGTGGAGAGTACATCTGCATGGCCGAGAGCACCCACGAAGGACAGGCAGTTCAAGCCATACAGTCGGCGTGGCTGGAGGTCCTGCCTGGTAAGACACTCTTATCATCACACCAACATTTTGGGCACATTTTGCTAGTTTTGGTGTCAACTTCATACAATGAGTCCAGACTTTTAGCCAAATTATACTTCAATGTAGCATCTGTCAAGACGATGTATTACGTTATATCCTAACCTCAACTTTTTACTCCCAACAGGTCCCATCATTTCTCGAAATGTGGACCTGACTGCTGCAGAGATCCCATCAGGTAATCTAATTATCATGCTGGAAAATGTTCAATCCAACAATATACACTGTCAAATCCCAAAGTGTTTTAGTTTGAATCCTTTTATTACGATGCAGTCCCTTTAAATATTGATGATGCGGGAGTTTAAGCTGTCAAGAATAAGTTTGTAAAACCCCAAAAAGACAGCACAGTAAGTGCTACATTGGTCTTGACAATTTAGCATCTGTCAAGACCAAGTATTACGTTATATTCTAACCTCAACTTTTTACTCCCAACAGGTCCCATCATTTCTCGAAACGTGGACCTGACTGCTGCAATAATCACATCAGGTAACCTAGTACTCATGCTGGAAAATGTTAAATCCAAAATAAACATTGTCAAATCCCAAAGTGTTTTAGTTTGAATCCTTTTCTGACATTGCAATTTCTTTAAATATTGACAATGCGGGAGTTTAAGCTGTTCAGAATAAGTTTGTAAAACCCAGAAAAGACAGCACAGACTCTTGAAGATAGTATGGCGGCCATCTGTGTGGGCTCGTCCTCCCCAGGCTGGAATGAACTTCTCTCCTCCCATCGCTCACTTAGATCTCCAGTGAACCTTCACCGCCCCTCAGATTTACTCTCCATCCACTGTCACGCTGCAACATGTTCATTAGCTTCAGATTGTCTTCTTCCTTCTCTTTTTCTTTCTGTTTTGGGGGGGAGTTTGTAGTGTTAGCTAGATTGCTCTCAGTCCCACAATAATCCACAGGAGAACAAAAAGATGAGGAGGAGGAGAAGGGGGTGTGTGGAGGAGGGTTGGCCTCCTGGTCTCCATGGCAATTTCATTGTGTGTTTGTTGGTAGAGGAGATAATGGAGTTGAAGTGTTGAAGGTCATAGTTGAGGGGACGGCCACTTACTTCAGAGAGGAGAAGAAGAAATAACCTGCTGACATGTGCAAGAAAGAGTAGAATATAGAAAATGAGGGAAAGAAACGAAACGAGGGGCACAGACTCAATTTTGTGCCGATTTTCAATTTCTTTCAACAGATGTTATTGACGACCTGAGTGAGGACACCACGGAGCGTCTTCTGCTGGAGCCGGGCAACGTCCTGAAACTGCGCTGCGACCCGAGCACCCGGCCCGGCATGGCGGTGAACTGGTACAAGGAGGGGCACCGGGTTCTGCCCACGCCCCGCATCCAGATCCGCGGCGCCATCGTGGAGATCACAGATGTGACATACGAGGACTCTGGCATTTATGTGTGTGTTCTGCGGGGAACCAAAGAGCCTGTGAGGAACTTCACCATCACTGTGGCAGGTAAGGACACCAACACTGTTAACTAACAGTTGTTTTAGGGATTTAAAATTGGTGTTGCATTTCACGGTTGTACCTAATGTTGCCAAGTTAACATTATTTACTTGTACAAAACAACCACCTGTTCACAGACACTCTTGCTGCGCACATTATGTTACATTACATTTGAGATGACACAAGTAGATTAATCGGTCGACAAAATTTGCCGGTGCTATTGGATTGCAATGAGCATTTTGATCTCTGACATTTTATAGACCAAACAAAGATCGAGAAAAGTGTTATTTCATGTTACCTGTATTTGTTTCCAGACTCATTGGGGTCGGGGGACGATGATGAGGACAACGGCTTGGAGGACTCATCGGCTGAGATCGAAAACGACCAGGTTTACTTCTCCAGAGGTACGTTGTTGCTGTTGTTCCTTTGGGAACTAGTACAACTCAACCTCCAGGCTTCATCAGAGCCTTCTCTGACTAACGTGTCATTGGTTGGTCTTTGTCCATACAGGTCCTTACTGGACCCACACTCAGCGTATGGAGAAGAAGCTGTATGCTGTTCCTGCAGGCAACACGGTGAAGTTCCGTTGCCCGGCCATGGGCAGCCCCATGCCGAGCATCCGCTGGCTAAAAAATGGACGTGAATTCAGAGGAGAGCACCGCATTGGGGGCATCAAGGTGAGGATGGGTTCCATCTCCTGAATTCTAAATAAAGCTGAATCACAGCTGGTTTCATTCAGATGATCCGGCAGAGTTTACAGTGATATATGAGTTTTATAAAGCTCAGTGAGTGTCTATCCATGCTGATGTATTTTTTGTGCGTGTTTCTTTGGCTAGCTGAGACACCAGCACTGGAGCCTGGTGATGGAGAGCGTCGTGCCTTCAGACAGAGGAAACTACACCTGCCTGGTGGAGAACAAATATGGCTCAATCGCTCACAGCTACGTCCTCGATGTCCTGGGTAAGAAATGGATGATCCAGCGCTGTCTGGACACATTTTCAAGAGTGTGTGAATATTAAAAAGGTTTTGGTTTAATTTTCAGAATTCAGGTAAACAGACATAAGAGATTATTCTTTAAATCTCAGTTTCAACACTTTGTGATCTGGCTGACAGTATTTACGGCAGCGATAGCAACAGTCATTAGTCAGCACTTGTGGAAAAGGCATACCTCCAGTCTGAGGGAGGGGATAAGCCGGTGGGGTGAGCAGAAGGGGAAAGGGGCGCATGGGCAGGATGTGGACGATCAGGCGTCCACACCAGTTTTCTACCTGACCTGTGACAGGAGATTGAGGAGGGCTGCGGTTTGTTTGTTCATTTGTTCGCTGCCCGTCCACCGCGGGGTCAGTTTCTGTCCTCGCCGACGGGGGGAGAAGACTAACGAGACAACTAACGAGATCAGAGAGCGAGAGTAACCACAGATCAAAGAGAGCCCTGGCGACCAGCTGAAAAAGAACCATGCTAGTGGAACCAATTTCCACCCCAAAATGACATTTCCTGCTCTGGTATGCCAGCATGGAAACACATTATATGTGACTGTGACAACTGCTTGGCAATTGCAGACATTTGTTTAGAAAGCAGACATGTTTCTTTCATCTTCGCCCACTTTGCTCATCTCTTCTTTGATTTTTTCCCAACACAGAGCGTTCCCCACACAGGCCCATCCTGCAGGCCGGTCTACCAGCCAACATCACAGCAGTGGTGGGCAGCGACGTCCAGTTCCACTGTAAGGTCTACAGCGACGCCCAGCCTCACATTCAGTGGCTCAAACACATAGAAAGGAACGGCAGCCGCTACGGCTCTGATGGGACGCCCTACGTTCGGGTCCTCAAGGTTAGTCAAACTTTAGCTAAAGTATGCTCAAGTTCTTATCGCTGTTCTGATATCCAAAAGACTGGAACCTGCTTTATCTTTTACCTTTATCTCCTCCAATTTGCTTTCCTATGTTTATGATTTCTTGATGTACAAGTGCCAAAAACAAGTAGCATTAGTTTGCTCAACAATAGTTAAAGCCTCTAGTGGAACTTTTAAAAGGAGTTGTATCGTGATGATTGTTGAATATCTGTTAATGTCACTTTTTCTGCAATCGTGTTGTGCAGACCGGCAGTCTGAACATGTCAGAGGTGGAGGTGCTCTACTTGTCCAAAGTGACCATGGAGGATGCAGGAGAGTACACCTGTCTGGCTGGAAATTCAATTGGATTTGCGCACCAGTCCGCCTGGCTCTCCGTCCTCTCAGGTAAAGAACGAACCGAAGGCGACATGAATCAGAGCTGAAAAGAATTTACTTAATTGCTAGAATTATTTAAACTTTTAATTCTTCCAAAAATGCTTGCATTGCTGCCAAATACTGCACTAAGCTGATAAACTTAAATATAAAGCTGCACCGCATAAAAAACAATGTGTGGCAGCAAAAGATTCAGTGAGTGATATCTTCTTTTTTTTAATTGTCCCTTTCTTCCTATAGAGGAGGAAGCAGCAGACGCTATTGAGACCTTGGAGACAAAGTACACTGACATCATCATCTACGCCTGTGGTTTCCTGGCTTTGATCATGGCCATCGTCATCGTGGTGTTGTGTCGAATGCAGGTCCACCCCAGAAGGGAGCCGTTTGATGCCCTGCCAGTCCAGAAGCTCTCCAAGTTTCCTCTTCGCAGACAGGTACAGGGCGCTATGCATTATGGGAACTTCCAAGTCTGTCTTCTCTAACTTTAAAAAGTAGTCGACAATGACTAAAGCCCCAGGGTATGCTTGAGTTTGCAGGAAGCATGTTTATAGTGGTTTCGAGCCACCCACACTTGAGACCTTCCTGTATGTTCATGTTAACAACATTTTCTGTACCTCTTCCTTCAGTACTCGGTGGAGTCCAACTCGTCAGGGAAGTCCAGTGCGTCGCTTATGAGGGTGGCTCGCCTCTCGTCCAGCTGCTCTCCCATGCTGGCTGGAGTCATGGAGTTTGAATTGCCCTACGACCCGGACTGGGAGTTCCCCAGAGAGAAGTAAGTTATCTGCAAGTTAGAATCGCTTCCGCCATCATCTGCAAAGTAATTACACTCGGCTGTCACGTTTGAAAGAAATGTGTCTTCAGAGTTTACTTAAAAGTTCTTGCAAAGAGAGTATTTCTTCACTAAGTTTAGTTTGGCTTTTGGGACTCATTTGTGGGACCAAAAAAGAAACGAGCCCACAGCCAGCTTTTGGCCCTACCCAGCCTTTGCTTTAGGAAGCCAGAGCCCCAAATTATGGATTTGTACAGTTGTCATTTGTGCATGCTTATTTTCGCTAACTTTCGCTCTTTCTTTCTCTAGTTTAACATTGGGCAAACCTCTAGGAGAAGGCTGCTTTGGTCAGGTGGTCAGAGCCGATGCCTACAGCATCAACAAGGACTCTCCAGATCCGGCCTCCACTGTGGCGGTTAAGATGCTCAAAGGTAGGAAAGAAATAATACAAACACAAAAATGCCTCTCGATATCAGCCTAAGTCTTCTGTCTTCTAAACAAAATGTATTTTTCCCTAAAGATGACGCCACAGACAAAGATCTGGCAGACCTCATCTCGGAGATGGAGCTGATGAAGGTCATGGACAAACACAAGAACATCATAAACCTGCTTGGGGTTTGCACACAGGATGGTGAGTATCTAACTAAACTGGTTCATTTCTGCTTCAACTGAGGGTGCTTATTATTGTAAATCTCAAGAAACAACTAATTTAGTTAGTTTTTCAACGATGGTGATCCCAAGCCTCAAGGCTAAAACAACAATAGAAACAGCTCCGTCCTTCATCCTGTTTGTGTTCCCCCCTCAGGGCCTCTGTATGTGCTGGTGGAGTACGCCTCCAAAGGCAGTCTGAGGGAGTATCTGCGGGCCCGGAGACCCCCAGGCATGGACTACACCTTTGATGTGACCAAGGTGCCTGAAGAGCAGCTTACCTTCAAAGACCTGCTGTCCTGCGCCTACCAGGTGGCCCGAGGGATGGAGTACCTGGCCTCCAAAAGGGTACGCTCACTTTAAAGAGTCTTGTAGTAGAAGAAGAACAGTCTGTGTTGGCTGTAAATATTTTCTTCATATGTTTCATGGAAGCAAGAGGCCATTTTTTCAACACTTATATATGATTATACATTTGATGTACATTTCTTTTTTGGGCACTTTGTGTCTAAAGAGTTTTTGTAATTTTCACCGGCAGTTAAGAAGCTTGTCAGGAAACTTAAGTGCAGAAAAGATTATATTATTCGACCAACAGACTGACTGGTAATTAATTGACTATATTAATATTTGTTTAATCATATAAGCAGCTTGACAAATAAAAAAAAAAGCCAAAGATATTTGAAGACATCATCTTAGATTCTGGGAATTTATGATGTTTTCTTTCCCCTTAACGGACGAAACTTTATTGAAAAAAGAACCCAGAGATGACTAAGCGTGTTATACATTGTTGTTGAACTAAAACCATGTAGTTTTCTTTGCTAATTTTAGTAGACAATATCCATATGCTTAGGTAGCCCCAACAGATATATTCAGCACTCAAATGTAACTTGAGACTTCTAATGCGTAGTACTTTTGGTGTGAGCCAGACGATTGATTTATGGTTTTAGGTGATCTCAAGGGACTTAAGAGGGATGTTTAGGAATCAGACAACAATTCAGTAAAATGTATCCACATCCCTGGGCGGGAAATGGAGCCACAAAAGGAAAGCAGGATAGTAAAATGCTTTGTAGTATCAGAAGTTTGGAATTAGGATTAGGATTGAGTTCTCGTGTAATTCTGTGTTTTGGGATTGGGGCACTTGGCCTTCAGATAGATCTGTCTTTGCATCTGTCTGCCCCTTTCTCTCTTTCTTTCTTTCTTCCCATCCCAACCCCCTCATGTTTCTATTCCTTTCATTTTCCCAGCATGCACTCTGTCTGTGTGCTTCTTATCAACACGTCTCTTTGTCTGCCAGCCGGTGTCTCAGACAGGCATTCCTAAGCAGAAAGCTGCCGCAGCTTCAGTCCTGTTTACTCTTCTCCATCCATCTGTCCGTCCCCCTCCATCGCAGGGCTTTGTCCCTTTTAGCGCTGCCATAAATCTGTTAGCAAACAGGCAGCAGAGCCGTCGTCTGGGTGCAGGCATCAGGTTTCTGGCTCTACGGCCTCCTAAGAATGCAGGAGCCTGAAACTAACCCTCCATTATGGGGACACCCACAAACCAACCCTGGTTCATTTTGCACGTCCCCACAAATCCCACATCTATTTCGAATGAAAACCAAAATAAACTTAATGATATCCATTCAATGTGGGCAAAGAGTGCCTTTCTTTTTTTCCCTCACAAGGGGTTTGTTTTTTCTTCAAACTCCCTGGTTTCTATATAAAGACATTTTAAATTTGATGCGTTCACTAAAATGAGCCGCTGTGTGTTGACTTTAGACTCCTGAGTCTTTTCATTTTTGGAGAAAATGTGCAGTGAATCATTTCTACCTCCCGTAACGCCATGTTTTTACATGAATACTCCTAACCGCGACTTGGAACAGAAGAGAAAGTGTCGCGCCACAAGTCTCACTTCAAAAAGTGCATTTCATGAATGTATAAACTTGATAATAAAGTTTTGTTCGACCCTCTTGTTGGGCCAGGACTGTAAATTTATACTTTTGACAAAGGGGGAGCGGTTTAAAAATACTGGCAACATACTCATAAAAATCCCTGATGCATTCAGCCCACTTTCCAAATTCAACATTCAATCTCTTAGCATATCAACCAGGGCCATTTAAACTTTATGCTAATCTTCTAATCTGGAGACCCAGCTGTTGGCCTTAAGCTCACTTTAGAGTTTTGTGTCAGTCTTTAATTCTCTCTCTTCTCTCTCCGCAGTGCATCCACAGAGATCTGGCAGCCAGAAACGTTCTGGTGACGGAGGACAACGTGATGAAGATCGCTGACTTCGGCCTGGCCAGAGGAGTCCACCAGATCGACTACTACAAGAAAACCACAAATGTGAGTGACAGTTTGTCGTGGAATGTATTTAGAAATCACTCCTGTATAGCTTTGCAGTGAGGAAACTTGCTTTCCAGTAGGGAGAGTAAGAGTACAACTAAATTGCTGCTCTCCTTTTAATGTTACACAGCTGATATGCTAAAATGTGCTTCTATTTGACCTCTGACCCTGTAAAGTAACAGGAATATTTCCCCTAAAAAGTACCATGTTGAGATCATCCAATAAAACAAATTAAATATCTTCAGGTCAAGATATTTAAATTGTTTAGAGGTGAAAGCGGAAGCTGGTTGTTTGTAAAAAAGAAAAAGAAAAGAAAGGCTGCTTGTAAACATGTCTGCCCCTCAGCCAGGTTCCTTTCACGGCTTTAATACTCCTCAAGACAGATGTCTGATGTTTCCCACTGATTGGCAGCAGGCTTAATGGGACTTAATTAGAAAAGAGGGTAGACGAGGAGGGAGGAGAGGTAGGATTGTGAACGAAGAAAAGAGAAAAACATTTTAGAAACAGAAGAACGTGTGAGTTGTTGTGATAAATGAATGTGAGTCTCTAACTTGTCCGTGTTCGCTCTGCAGGGACGGCTGCCGGTGAAGTGGATGGCACCAGAGGCTTTGTTTGACAGAGTCTACACGCACCAGAGCGACGTGTAAGTCCAACTTCTCGTACCTGCACGGAAGAAACCTAGTTCTTTATAACAAAGACAATTATTTTTCCATTACCTGTCTTGTCAAAGCATCACGTAACTGTACTCATCAACTCTGAACGACCAAAAAACTTAATTGACCTTTCGCATTGGTCAGCACCGACAAGGGTCAGGAGCGTAGCGAAGGGTCAATTGTATCGTATCTTCAAGCGCTCTGTCTTTGTCGAACATCGTTGTACACCACTGTAAACAAAAGTAGACGTGTCCTGATCCCCTCGTCTCTGCTCAGGTGGTCGTTTGGTGTACTGATGTGGGAGATCTTCACGCTGGGCGGCTCCCCTTACCCTGGTATCCCCGTCGAGGAGCTCTTCAAGCTGCTGAAGGAAGGACACCGCATGGACAAACCCTCCAACTGCACACATGAACTGTAAGCCAGAGTGTCTTACTCATGATGCTTTTAGTATGTTTTTGGCTGCAACACCCCTCCCTATATGTATATATATATACAGGGTTTGTACAGCCTGGAGAAGTTTTGGAAAAATAAATATACAATATATTATAAATATAGGAAGAGTCATGAAATAGGCTTCCCAAATACCTGTGTAAAAGAACAAATGTGGCTCAATTAAGATCAACTGACAGAATCTGTATTATTTGAACAATACTTCAATGTTCGGCAGATCAGTTTTGTCGCGTTACATTGTTCTCTGTGTGGGATAACGTCAGACTCGGATCATTTATCCTTTTTTTTTATTCAAACAAAGAAGTTTGTATGATCATGAAAATGTGCTTCAGAGTTATTGAAAAGTCTTTATTGATTAAAATGTGTATGAACCCTGTATGTAGTATATATATATATATATATATATATATATATATATATATAACATAAGCATTGCATCCATCAACTAAACTTAAACTTTGCAAAGCTGATAATGTTCTCATAGATTTTCTAAATGGTCAAAATAATTTTTGCTGTGGGTTTTTTCTCTCCTCTGTAGCTACATGATGATGCGTGAGTGCTGGCACGCTGTTCCCACCCAGAGGCCGACGTTCAAGCAGCTGGTGGAGGAGCTGGACAAAGTGCTGCTGTCCATCTCTGACGAGGTGGGTTTCAAACACACATCCATGCACCTACTCCCCCCCCAATGAAACTGCACATACACATGCACACAGCCTAACGTATGCACTCGTGGAAATGAACACAAACATCCTCTCTTTCACAATCTGCAGTCCAGATGTATTTAGTTCCCGAGAGTTAATGCACAGCGAGCAGAATCCGGGGCTTAGAGGCTCCAAACAACAAAAATGTAATGTTCGGCTGCAGCGTCCAAAGAGCGGAAAAGTCAGAGCAGCCTGCAGATTGGTCAATATTTCATGTGAAGGATTTTTTGGTTCTTACATGCATCAAAAGACATATTTCTAGCTTTTAATTTGTCTCGGTAATGGTTTCGGTGGTCCTGAAACAACTAAAAGCGAATTCACTCGCAGTCCGAAAGCCTTTTTTTTTAACAAACATCTTGATGTTTCTTGAGACGCCAACATTTCTCTAACGTCTGAACTCCCTCTCATCCCTCAGTACTTGGACCTGTCGACGCCCTTCGAGCAGTACTCCCCGTCGTGCGAGGACACGTCCAGCTCCTGCTCCTCTGACAACGACTCTGTTTTTACCCACGATGCCTTGTCCACCGACCCCTGCCTCCTGGGCTACCAGGACGTGTGCTCCAGGGTAGACATGAAGACGGCGCTCCGATAGACTCGCAACGGACGGCACCCACACGTTTACAGACATGAACACATGTAACACATCCACTGGCGGCCATATTGGTGGTCCGCAGAAGCATTTCGTCAAGTTAAAGTTGGACCTCCATTATGGCACCAGACGAAGCCCTTAGATATAGGTGGGCATTCACAGTATACACACACATATAAACACATGTATGCACATGGAGCACTGAGGCTGGTGGGCTTCATCACATGGTGAAGGTTTGAGGAAAAACATTTCACCGTGGGCATCGGAAAAGAGGACAAACACAAACGCGGTACTTTGGACTATCAGCTCTGGTGCTGTGTCCAAGAACAGTTGGAAACGTTGGAAAACTACGGCACTAAACAGAACAGGAGTAGATCCTGGTACACATAAAGGCCTCCAAATGCTTTCTTTGAAGGACAATGATCTCCTCACACAACCCAGAACCAGGGCGAGAAACCTCGTGATAAAGACAATTTTAACAAAAACAAAAGATTTATTTTGCTATGATAAAAAAAGAAGAAACTGATAGTTAAATATAAATCTCTCTATATAAGATTATTTTACTTTTGTGTTGCTTATTTAAAAAAGAAAAAACGGTCTTAAATCTCAGGATCTCGTGTGCTAAGAAGTGGCTGTAGTGGCAGCAAAGTGCCTGAATTTACGATTTCCTGTGAATATATTAGAATATTAAAATATTGTATGTACATATCAACAGCAGAAAGACGATTGCCTTTATAAATTATTCTGAATGACACAAAATGAAGGTTATTGGAGGAGAAAGGAGAGAGGAATTTAATCAAGTGTTTCAAGTGCCAAACCTGTCGCAGCTGTCACACTGTATTCATGTTCGGGTTTTATTCCAAAATATTACATTTCGAGGGAAGGTTTGAACCCAATGATCCCCCAAAATGAAACACAAAACATTGAAATCACCCCCAAATCATAAACAAACAGTAGATGCTGTTAAAAATTGGTTTACATCAGCAGCTTTTGCAAAACAAATGTAAAAAACCAACCAGTATTTTGACTAACCGAGAAAAACAAAATCTGACGACTCAAACCTCAAACGTATGTGGTACAAAAATGATGGATTTGGCCTTTAACGATGGCTTACATTTTTGGAATGAAACCCTCCATTTGTCATTTTGTAGTAAGCTGCTTCGACCTCCAGCCCAATCAAACAATTTGTGGTTGAATACCAGAAGGAGTTCCAGTTCTTGTTGCTGTTGTTGGATGAAAACCCACCAATTATTTCGCTCGGATGCATTTCTTAAGTTATAAAACGAGTTTTGAAACAGTCATGAGACTCATTTACATGTACAAACAAGCGCGCATAGTTTGAGACAACAGTCCATGGTCTTCCTCCAACAACAGCTTCAGTATTTCAGTCTACATTGTCAGAGACAGTGTGTGTCCAGGGTGGGACTCGACTCTGAAAGGAGTACTGACGATTCAGCACTGGGGACTATGCTGGGGAGCTGGCCCAAGCCCACTGTCACTGTTGACAAGGGAGGGGGGCACTGCATGTGAAAGCCAGTGTGATTGATTTCAAATAGAGGAGAGGGGGGGAGGGAGCCTCCTTTGTCTGGCTGTAACCCTTCACCCAGCCCAATCTGTTGGCGAGGGGTCTTCAGGTCCGCAGCCCGGCCGGACAATGAAGGCTTTGCAGGCTTAATGGGTGTGACTACGGACCAGAGGGAGTTCTGCAGGGGTGGGGGTGGTGGTGTGGGGATAGCTTGGCCTTGTGTGCAAATGAAGAGGCTCTTATTATGTTAATGTGTCCTCTTCTCTCCCATACTCCCCTATCTTTATCCCCACAGCCGCCATCTTTTAAATTTACAAATCTTAATTCAGATTGGCCACCGGGACCAGCTGCAGAGAACTCCCCCGTGTCCTCGGCCCACCTCCTGAATCAGACCGCAGACGCAAACAAAGCAACCATTTTGACAGTTGTATGGAAATATGCTTGTCAAAATTCACCAAAGTTCACCAAACTGACTCCATGGAACTTAATTGATTTAGGTTTGAAACATATGTGTCTGTCTTGGCTGATACCTGCATCACCAGCTGTGTTGCTAGATTGCTCTCTGGTCTTTTTTGTTTCAAGTGAAAAATGAAGGGTTTGATTTCAAAATGAAGTGTAACCAGCCAACCGTTTAGTCAATGAAGGATTCACGTGTCTTCTCTCCCTCATTTGTTTGCTTTCCACGCTGTCAATCATCTAGTGACAATTGGTGTCTCATTTTAGAATGAAGCTCTTCACATTTAAATGCAAACGTAGGCAAAGTGTCCGGATACATATGCATCTTTACATTCCAGTTATCTGCTCTTCTCCCAGATACAAACTGTAAACAATCACCACGTTCTTAAACATTTCCTCCAGATAATTATTTTAGAAATATCTAATTTATTTGTTTATTGTTTTGTTTTTTTATGAAATAAAGTATAATTTAAAATAAAGCAGATCTGTGTCTTTGTCTCTGTCTTTGCATTAAAACAATGGAAATATTAGCTAAACGGATGCTTTCACTGGAAACCTACAAACCCAGACGTGATTTTAACACACGCCCCAGCTGTGTGTAATGAGCTCGTTGGCTCATCTAGCTCATTTGGCTGCAGCTCCCTGCAGATGCATGCATTGCAGTGACCTTCTAATTTTCTTTTTTGGTTTTTCTTTATTGTGATTTTTGAGTGGTACGATACTGAAGGATGTATTCAGTGAATAATTATAGATAGTTAATATTAACATGATTAAGAAGGGGATTCCATTGTTAATAGTCTTTAAATATTAGTCTTAATGAATATGAATATGAATATTGTCTCTAATTCAAAGGAACACTTACCTGGTTGCTTTTTTAGGGGATTCAGTGTATTAGAATCCTAGTATCCGTGTAAAGTCGCCTTCCTGAGCCAATTTGTTCCCAATGGAAAGGAAACTTACAGGTTATTACATCCTGAGCCTTATTTTTGTAGTTTTGTCAATCATTCTTATCAGTCGTGATGAACAAATGAACAGCTGAGATCTGGTATTATGATGACGTTGCTACAGCGATGTCCAGAGGGGGAGTTCAGATAATCAGACAGGTTGTAAACGAGATTCCAGCTTATCTAGATGATATAAACCACTTTATTTAGAGGTTTGTCTTTGTTTTGTCCTCCACAGAAGATTAGTTCATCTGATGGTTAGTTTCCAAACTTATATTTTCTATATCTTCTCTACCTGTGGCCATCAAACTATATAACTCCTTCCTCTTCTGCAGGAACACACAACAATAATAACCACAGGTGCAATAGCACTTTTTTTAACATCGTACGTTATTACATTTCTATTTCATGTGCAATATTATTTTCATTAATCTGTGCAATATAACTTTCGACAATTCTTTCAATATCATTGAAAATATCTCTCAATATCATGCTCAATATGAGTTTAATTAAATTTACTTTAATTTGACTTTAATTTATTTATTTACCTTAATCAGACTTAGTCCGTAGCTCAGCATTTAACTTAGATAAATGCCTTTTATGACCAAAATGAGGAAACTAGAACTTCCCACAAAATCTGCACTAGAAAAGACAAAGAGCCAGCGACAGACAGAGAGAAAAATGTGAGTAAGATGAAAGACAGAGACAGCGAGACGAGAGAATCAAGAGATGGAGGTTAGGGGTCAAGAGGAGGGAGGAGAGGGCAGCAGTGATCCCAGCCAGCACAGGCTTTTGAAGTGTGTGTGTGTGCATGATGATGTGTCAGTGTGTGCGTGTTATCTCCTGTGTACACGGTGTGTGGTCTATACATATGTGAGTGTGTCTCTTATCTCCCATGTACAATAAATCTTTCTCACCCAGAGCCTCTCTCTCTCTCTCTCTCTCTCTCTCTGAGCTCCCCTCCTGCATGAGCTGATAAAAGTCTCAGTCTGGGTGTTTGGAGGTGTGTGTGTGTGTGTGTGTGTGTGTGTGTGCGTGTGTGTGTGTGTGTGTGTGTGCGTGTGTGTAACATTAATTACAACCAGTATTATTAATTATTTTAAAGTGCTATTTTAGACGTGCATGTTGAGGTCAAGGCATGTCCGGTGGAAAGAAGAGATTTGAAGTAGCTCAGCACTGATCTACTGTGCTAACAAACCCCTTCTCCTCCAATTCCTTGTGAAATACTTTTTAAACGTCTCTATTTTTGTGGACTTGATTTAACATATTCTGTGTGTTCTTCTCGGCCTAGATGTCAAACAAACATTGGACATCTGCAGAAGTCCAACACAGGTCCGAGATGTCTCGAAAGCGGAATTGGACTGGTTGTTAGTCCGCACCAGAGTGTGATTACTGGCTTGAACATCAGAAATCTTCTGTTCAAGGTATCCTGTTGCCGTTATTTGGTGCCACGTGAGTTCAAGTGGCATTTTTCTTCCACCTGCAAAAAAATATGCCAAACAAAGAGGCAAAAGTCCAGAGTTTGAGTGAACTGCAGGTCATGTTAACTGACTACTGGAAGGTTTGAATCCACATCCTCAGCCACACAGACTGCCAGCTTTGATCAGAGAGAGCCAGACATATTCCAGATCCATGCTCAGTAAATTCCGGCCTGTATTTGTTGAATCAACTGCAGTTATCATCACTTGGCAAGTTTCAACAATCAAAGGATCATATTTGTTTTGAAGGCACTGAGACAAGACTTTTGTATCCTTAAAAAGGCAATAAAAATGTCTCTCAGAGGCAAATTAAACTGCACTGCTGACAATATCTGTGGCTTCTTTCTTGACTTGTCATCCTTATAACATCATAGAAACTCCAACATCTCCAGCAGCCTAAATATTTAAGGTTTGCTGTGCCAAATATTGTATCGTACCAACTCCAAACAGCCTCCCAGTTCTCAAAGTCCCCGGTTACCTGGAGGCTAGAAACTCATAATGGGATAAAGAGTTTAGTTTGGGAGATAGAATGAAAGAAAGTAGACTCATGAGACAAAGACAGAAATAAATAAAATAAAAACCAGAAAAAGATCTTCATGCATTCAACACTGACTATTTTATGTGTACTGAAAAGTCTGTGTTTTGGTTTTATTAATAAGAGTATTCACACTTTTATAGAGCAATCAGGATGTTGGTCAGCTTGATTTTAGATATTTCTGTAGTTAGTTTTGAATAAGGGATCCGGAACGAGTCTGGGCCAAATGAGCCTCTTAATGAACGGGGCCAAATCGGCGGATTCGGAGCGGAGTCAGTTTGCTATCAGCACACACTTCTTGTTACAATATAGTGGGTACAGTGACATTTTCCGAACACATCGGTTAGTCCTCATATTCAAATATTTTTCTCTTGTAACAGTAAATGAAATATCATCATTGTTGGCGCCACGTATGGCCTAAATGTCACATTTAAGGCTGTGGGTTCATAATTGTCATAGGATACAGCCCCGGTCTGGTCTGTTTACCAAAGAAACACAAACCATTGCCTTGAAATTGAATGTTTTTGCTTCTTTGTGGTACCAGGCTGAATATTCTCTGTAAGATTGGAAAAATAGGGCTCCTCCAAAAGCCACGGTGTAATTTGACCACTGGTCCCTGTGCTGTTCAGACAACAGGGTTAGAGGCGACAGCTATAGCATAATGCTAGTTTTTGTAGATTTGTATATAGTTTGTAGTACTTTGTGGTCCTTTGTAGTCTTCTCTCTCTAATGTCGTCACACTCCTGAAGACTCAGCTCTATGTAGGACAAAACTTGGACTGCTTTATGGGACATTTTGTCTTTTTACAATCTAATCAGCCAGTAAACAGAATGAGGATATGGACTCGGACATGTAGCAACTCTGTTTATCCCTGTTTAAAGTTTAACCACTTTGCTGCAGCACACTGAACCCTGGACCATAAGCACAAACACTGTTTACAGCCCTGTACTCTATATGTGTGTGTGTGTGTGTGTGTGTGTGTGTGTGTGTGTGTGTGTGTGTGTGTGTGTGTGTGTGTCAGGTTTAGTGTAATGTTTGTTGGTCTACTTTATCTACTGACCTCCGGAAGTATTTGTGATTCTGTCTGCACACAGTGCGTGATAAGGCCAGGAAGAGAGTGTGGACACAGGATGTTGAGTTAACACTGGGACAACATGAGAGCAGCTTATCACACAGAGGACCAGCCATAACACAACTGGCAGCCACGTGGATCCATACGGGTGTCTGCTGACACGGCCTGCTGCTGGAGAGAGGAAACCAGTAACATCAGAGAGTCGTAAAATATTAAAATTACCTGCCAGCACATGGAGAGCCAGTCTGAGCCGGTGGCTAACAGCAAATTTTGCCAACAGCGCTAACAGTGGCAACAGTGCTGACAACAGGAAATCAGAGAGTCGATGTTGCGCTTCCGCGACGCAATGTAAATAAGGATAAAAATATGAATTTTACTGCATTGATTCAGTATCCCACTTGAATGTAGGTAGGTTATATAAGCTCATACGATGTTACAGAAATGTCACTGACCAACGATCATTTGTGCTGCATTCATGGGGTGTCAGAATAATCAAAAAAAATGAGTCCCAATCATATTTCATGGGTCACCTGATTCTTTTCCTTTGCTCTTTGCTGTCATGCTAATACTGGAAACGGCTATCAGTGCGTTGTTTAAACACTGAGCAATGAAATACAACACACCTTCTTTGTAGCGTCCACGTTGTCTTTCCGCAGTATGACTTCGCTCATGAACCCACCGAAGTAGGAAGAACGACTTCTCAACTCTGGAAAGAGGACCATGCGAGCAGCATGTTGATGCAACATTAAACTGTCATGCCGTCTGTCTCAACTCTAGTCTTGGCCCTCCATGTTCATTCAGTGTTGACTACAGTTACTTTACTGATTCTTTTTATCGCAGTTAGGGAAGGTCTCATTTTTTAAGTTACGTCACAATCCGTTCGCCCGTTGGCAATAAAACAACAATTAATACATATAAAAGAAAGACATGCAGAACCCTTAAAATGTGTCAGACCTGTAACAGTATTATATAAAGGTTCAAATCATTCACACGTCACATAGAGAAATACTGGTTTTGCTTTTGTAAATGAACACATCATAATTGAAAATGTATCCCCGTGTCTGTGTGTGTTATTGAGACAGCATGATGCTTTGACTGGGACAGTCTGCAACAGGACGGATCAGGTAACATCAGAAGACAACCCAAGGTCACAGGTGATGCAGCAACACCCCCCCCCCCCCCCCCCCCCCCCCCCCCCCCCCCCCCCCCCC